TTCCTTCCAGAAGCACAGTCTGTCGCAAAGTGGGGGGGTTGTGGGAAATCATATAATCGCAAGATTATGGAAGTTCCGGACTTTATCTTTTGCTAGTCGGTCTTGCTTTTTGCTCTTGCCTTCTAAAGCCTAGCCAGGTTTATTAGTAACTGTCTGATATGTTGGCGATTTTATCTTCTAACACTAATCTGGTTTTCCTGATTTATTCTGCTTTTTTAGCACAGTGGTTGACAGAGGAAGAGATTTAAATAATGAAAGACAAAAGAGGGAAGAGAATACCAACCATCTCAACCATGAATAGAATTCTGAAAAAAAAATGCTGAGAAAAGATTACTCGAGTGAAGTTGGATTCCTGATTAGCAAGTAAAACGCGGTGAAAATATTTCCTAGACACTAGAATATTACCTTTCGAATGAGAGACCTGACACCACCTGAAAGTTGACGCCCACTAAAAATGACAAGTTAAAAAATTGTTCGTTCCCTTGATTTACTTTTCCGGCCGAAAATAATACTCCGCAGAAAACACGAGCGGAAATACCCGTTCTGTTGCTCATTTTGTAGAAAATTATGTTGTTTTAGATAAATTTTAAGACGCCGAATTGATTAATCAGATATCTAAGACCTGTGCATTTACCTTTGTCTGTGAACTATACGGTATTTCTATCGGAAACTCGTACGAATATTACATGAAACCTTGGCGATGGCAAAGGATAATAAAGCATATTACCCAAAAGAGAAAGTATATGGCATGTAGTCTGACGGCCATAGATGAGATGGCTTGAACAGTATACTTAAATTTGGAACTTTTTGCAACGTCACCAGATACCCCTTCAAGCCAACATGAACGTGACTTCCCAGAAGAGAAACTTGAGGATATCTTCTTGCATACAAGCTAAACAAACACCGGAAACCAACTGAAAAAAAGCCACGCTTCTTAAGAGGCAGTTTTAGCTTGTCACTCTTGCAGATACAGTCGGCATTCTGGGAGTAGTCAAAGTATTTATTGGAGTGATAAAAAAACAGGACTACTTAGACACATTAGAAGCTACAGAGAATTTAACTAGGGTTCACGAAGGGTGCGATAGCCTTGATCGATTGCGAAACTACAAGTCGTCTTCTGCCTGGGACCCCCCTCTAGGAGGCGGAAGGATTTCAGAGTCAGAACTGACTACATCGTGAATACGACTGGTATTCGAATGAATAAAAAGGTCCGCGTTCCGGGTATTGACGAAGATAAGGAAGAAGACGTGTCGAGCACCGGATCAATTGGTTTATTGTCCTGAGCTTTCGACTCTTACAGGAGTACATCTTCAGATATGATAAGTAGCAACAAAAAGGAGGGTAATTATAGTGGCCATAAACCAATCAACTTTCAGCAGTCATCAGGTTGTCAAGGGATTAGAAACAGTAATAAAGAAGGATGGTATTACATATGATAGGGGGGAGTGCCTGTTTTGATTAGCAG